ATTTATGTTTAAAATTCAATTTATATTTCCTGTTATTTCTAGTTTTACACAAAAAAGACTTTTTATGAGGAAATAAATAGTCTTTTTTGAAAATATAACTTATATTCACGTGTATAATAAGAAACGTAAATAATATTTGTCTTATATTTGTCTCCATATAAGAGATTCACGCTTTAAATGTGAAACAAATACTCAATTCTATTGTATATTCTTTGAATACATACTTATGTTTACAATTCAACATCACTTCCCAAATGACAAACCATTAAACATTTATATATGGAAAGTAAAACTCATTTTCTGAGACAAATTCACATTTAATGCTAAATTATAGTTTGTTTTTCCTATAATATTCCGAAATTGCTTTTGGATTATCTGTTTATTTGAGATAAGATTGTATTAGATATCGGAAAAAGTTAATGTTTTTTTAAAAAAGGTAATGACAAAAATATTATATAACACAAAATACTTTAGCATTTGACTAATTAAAACAAATTATTATATCAGTTCACTCACTATACTAACTCAATGAGCTTTCGATAGACAACAAAAATACACACATTTTTACGATTTTTGTTATCATTTTTTCGACAAAAATTAGTTGTTTTACAAGTATTTTATAGATTATTACGAGTTTTTTACAGGAAATGTTTTACAACAGAATAATTAGTTATGGTTTTTATGAATCATAATCATAATCACCTTCACCTTCGATGGATATAAACCGTTATAATTATAGCTAATGTTGAAGCGATAAAAGTGATGAAAATATTAGACTTTTCCCGAAATACTTACACAAAATAGTCATAAATTTCTCGAAAAGATTGCAAACGAAATGTGACCCAAATATGCGCTCAAAATGAGACTATAAATGAAAATTTTATATTAACTACTGAAGAGAGAGAGAGTGAGAGAGAGAGAGAGAGAGAATGATATTTATAATAAATTGCTTTTCTTATAATAATTATGACTGAGAATGAAAACTATATTTAAGAGAGAGAGAGAGAGAGAGAGAGAGAGAGAGAGACTACCGGAAGAGTCACCGGAATACGAGTCCACACATACGAAGACTATTATAAGGCATTTGGTGGGGAAAAGAAAAAATATTTTACCGCCTTATCAGTCATTTGCCTCTTAGTGAAAATACAATTTATAAATACCTATAATATTATGGATTAATAGTAATCACAGAAAACGTGTTCAAGAATTGAATGGAGAAAATAATGGTTAGTATTAGTGGAGAGAAAATAATGATAGACTTATATAAATGGCATAAATTGTGTGGTATTTAGAGTAGAGAAGTGATACAAATTTGGATCTTTCCGTTCAAATATGTATTTTATTGTATTATAATAATGAATACGAAGTTCATTGTACCGAAAATAATAGGAAAAAATAAATTATAATTTTGTGTTTAGTTATTTTTTTCTCTATAATAAATTGGTTTAATAAACCATTAATAATAATACTGTTTATAATATATTTGTACGGAATGTGGGGAATATAAATAAACTGTTGTTTTTTGTTGCTCCGATCACATTGCCGGGACAGGTAGTCGAGTACAGGTATACACTCACGTAAACATAGCTGAGAGTAATACCTGTTTAGCAAACACAGTGTTTAACGATACTTTTTAGTATTCATTAGTTATAAATTTAGCTATTTATAAAATATTTTGTGTCTCACAAATGTATAATCTTTGATCTGTATTTTTGTTTGAAACGAAATTTCAAATAGATTTCACTTTCAATTAACAAAAATATGTTTTTATAAAAGCTTTTTGTTGTATTATGTAACGTATGCGAAAAAGTTTCATTTCATATCTAAATTATTTGGCGTTTTATATCTAATTGTACATTGGACATTTTTTCACGTTCAAAGTCAATAAATTCACATAAATGTGGTATATTTAAAAACGCCGTTACCAAAATAAATATTTAATACATTTATAATTAATGAATGTTTAAATATATACATTTAAAATAACTTTGAAAAAATAACTTTCTGTTACTAAGCGATCAATTAATTAATTAAAGTTGTATTTCAAGTCAGTTTAGTATCTATTTAGCGAACATTTTTTGACACAATTTAGTTTATTTTAAGTAAGCATTAAATTACTTTTGCAAAAATAATATTGAGATTTAACACAAAAAATACATAATTATAATATTAGCAGAGAAAATACATACTATTCCCGCGGATAACCTTTGGATTAATCGTCCGATTAAGACGGCATTAATACTCAATTAAATGGTCTTAAAAATATATTTACAAATATATTTTTATATATTTAAAATATTTTATAAAAAGAGTTTGAAGTAAAAGCTATTTTAGAACCTATTGTTTGCATAAAGTTTTAAAAATAAAAGCCATAAAAATCTTGAGCCATAATTAGATAAGCATTAGTAAAAACAAAACTATTATTTTTGCTTAATTTATGTGAACTTTTTTCTACTAATAATGAATCTGCTTTCAAAAAATTGTTTTACAAGTAACAGTAAATATTTACAGGTTTTGGGAACACAAACTTATATAATGTATTTGTTTTTTGTATAAAAGTTTGTCAATAATCTAAACTTTTTTATATCTGTTTTTAAATATACAGTATAATTGAAATTGAATTTTTTATGATTAGTAAAAATATAGTATTTATAAAATTGAATCATAAATTAAATGCATAAAAATTGAAGGCATCGATAGAAAGAATATGTAATTTAAGTTCAAATGAGATATATTTATAATAATAACTCCGATATATATATTATATATTATATATTACAGTAATACAGGTTCTATCAGATTTCTAATTACAAAATTTGTTTTCTCAAAGAAACAAATTTGTGAAAATTTTATTTCTAAATATTACATAATTGTTTATATATATATAGTATATTCCGAAAAAATATAATTAAAAATGTATTTATATATCGCTCTTATATTTTTAAAATTTTATTTTTGAAATATTTTCGTACTTTAATACCTATCAGCTGATTCTGATATTACCTGTATATATTACCTGTATATATTACCTGTATATATTACTTGCTTATATATACATTTTATATAAATATAATTACTTTTTTAGCTTTATTTGTATTTTTACACAAATTATTATATCATATAAATAACGGGAGAATTAATTTGAGGCAAAACGAGAAAATGTGAATACATTTGACGGAATGGGTTGGAGTCTTCCAGGCATACGTCAAACACCCAGCGCTCACTGTATCGCCAATCATGAGAGCTAACGGTGCCCTTAGAGTAGCATTTCTTAGTGATGTGGATCAACTCGAAAAAAGTATATTTTTCTCTCTCATCGACACCGGAGAGAGAGAGCGAGAAAGAGAGAGTCGAGAGAGTCGAGAGAGCGAAAGAGAGAGTCAGTCATAGTATTTCGTGTTCAGTCTCTCACTCTCTCTTTCGAAAGCAATGATTATAACTACCTTTGAGTGAAAAAACTGCCAAAACTTCCCACAAAAATGGGTCATTCGCTTCACTAAATAAGTTTAAATAAGAAAATAAATTAATAATTACTCCGAAAACAGTGTTTACATGCGATTGAAAATTGCTTTTTCTCTCTCACTGTCTCTCTCACAGTCTCTCTCAATCTGTATCTCAAAAATATTATTATATATTTGCAAACGTATTACAGAGTGGATAAAAAATTTGATTGTATTTTTCGTATGTTCTTGGTCTATCCACTGGTTTTGTATAATTTTTTCACTCGACAAGCATCTAATCATTTTGTGATTATTGATATGTGAACAAAGTTATCAAAACAACACAAAACTTTTCGATCAAATGCCAAAAGTAGTGAACCGTTCATAATAATAATGCTTTTATTTAATAATCACATATCACTGAAGTTTGTTGTGTTAAGTGTTGTATTATGTGTTTTCTTCTCACACCTCATCCAACAAACCGACTGCCAGTTCAGTATTGTCTACAGCAGTGGCAGAGCTCCTGGTGATGGGCCCCGAAGATTCCCATTCCTCAGGGCGTTGTTCACGCAAATGATTACCGATAGGAGTTCCAGTGAGTTCGCCAAACACGCCAAAGATGACTACCAGACCAGCGATTCACAGAAATCCCGGTCCGAGACTAAAGCCAATAATCCAAACCTACAGTCAATGGAGAATATAATGCATGACATAAACACTCAAAACGCTGGCACCCTATCCACCAAAACGCGGGGTTTCTTTCTCGTCAATATATTGTCGCGAATGCTTAAGTCAGTCAACTTCACTGAAGTAAGCATTCATTTATAACCAAGATCATTTTTAACCATTTCTAGTATATCATTAAACACTTCAATTCAATAGTAAGTTACAAATTCTAGACAACTATACTATACATTCAAACATAACATTGTATCACCAGGTTTCTTGTTTAAAGAATATTCTTTATAACTTTTATTGCAAGTATTTTAGTATACTCTACGGTTCAGTAGTTTTAATATAATTTAGTAGGACTATGATTATTTGTTACATTAGTTAATTGAACACATAATTTGATAATTAAATATTCATTTAATAAAATTACATTCATATCAAATAAATTTCTTAATTATCTATTAGAAATCATGCAATAATTTGTCACGAATTTATTAAACCTTTTGATAATAACTTTATTTTTGTCGTGTATTTGTCAGTTTAGAGTCAATTTAATCGGAAGTCATTAATTATCGTCAATTCAATTAAACATAAAATTGATTGATTTATATAATTGTCTGATAATTGAGGAAATTAAACATTAAAACAGGAATACATTTATACATAAAAAAGAGTTTACATTTCTATTAAGAGATAATCCTCGATAAAACTTTTATTAATGGAAAAATTTCAATTTTTGATTCATTTAGATCTCATTGAAAAATTCATTCAAAATAGAAAAACATGTTACAAATATAGCATAAACTGCTTTTGAACTAAAACCAATTTATCGTTTTCATTTTTATAGTTTTTAAAAATATTTTACTATCAAAAAAATGTAGTTAAGTTTGCAAATGAGGGACGGGATCTCTTCGCGGGCCTCGTGTCTGGCTTGCAATGCCGTCGCCGGACTACTCCTCAGCTCCATCTACTCCAAGGAGATGATGACCGTTGCGGTCAATACGGTCTGCACTTCCTTTAGGCTCCAAACACCACGCGTTTGTTCGGGAATTGTTGAATCATTTAAAGTAAGAATTCATGAAATAATTGCTATTAATATCAAAGGGTTATTCCTATACAATAAAAAACACAATGTTTATTTCTTGCCATTTGTTGCATATAACTCTCTCTCTCTCTCTCTCTCTCTCTCACACACACACACACATAGAATAATAGCATTTATTTTACACTATTATAAGACCCTAAAGCTAAACAATGACTTAGATATTTATTTTGTATGAGAAAATTTGGGTTACATTTCAAGCAATTTATTGATTTTGCATTTCAATGCAAAAATAAGAGAAACGATTTTATTTTAAGACATTTGAGAGTTTTGTTCGCATTTTACTCTCTCGTCTGTTAGAAATTTTAATTTTATACTTAAAATAAACACTTTTTCTAATTGAACCCAAATATGGGGCCAAATATGTGACAGAATATAGAAAATGTGTAAAAAGTGTTTGTTTTTTATTAGTTTTTCCAATAATTTGTTTGCGAAAACTTTTAATGAGATTTTTAGTGCCGTTTTTGTCTTTCATTCATATTTCGCTAATACATTATATTTGATAGCGAAACAAGATTTTCATTCAGTTTTGCATATTTCATGTTAATTATGATACCACTTATATTTTAACTATTTATCGGTTGTTTTGTTTTCGTATATTAATAATCATAATGTAAATGAAAATCGAAAACATTATTATATATTCGCTTAAAATGAGGAAATATTCGCGAAACGAAAAGTATTTTTAAAAATGAGACAACTTTTTACTTTCTGCTTAATAGTGGCTTTGCGTTTAGGATTTCCGGTCAGCCCTAGAAAATTGAGTGATATTTGTTTGTTTACCGTTTAATATCATGTGTAATAAAAAGGACATGCAATTAATGTATAATTAAGAGCAAATCCCAGGCTCTCGGAGATTATAATTTTGAGGTCATTATGACATATTTCCGGATCGGGATCTCAGCTGATAATTGTTATTAAATAAGCAAAAAAAAGCAGATCATTAGATCAGTAGTCGTGAGGAATGTGTAAATAAAATCAAATAAATACATTAAAAAACGGGAATAAGAAAAAGATGAGTGTTTTTCTCTCGTAACGAATGTAACGTTTGTTTGCGAAGAAGTTGAGAGAAGTTGAAGTTCAGGTGAAAGTGAAGTGAAGTGTACTTATGATGTGATAACTATTTAGGACGATCTCGATTACATCAGAACCCATACGACACTGAGAAGGGGAGAGATGTGTGGAGTGATATTCGGGATGGACTGCGCCCGCAGGACAACCAAAAACCTCAACTGGACTATCAGTTTGCCGGAGAAGCAGAATATGGCCGACAGGAGGGCTGATGACAGCGAGTCAGACATAGTGGAGGCGGACAGCGAGAAGTTGAAGGCCTACACCAAAGTGGTTCAGGTGACAGACCTTCACGTGGACCCGTATTATACGCCCGGAATGAACGCCGATTGCGGGGAACCCCTGTGCTGTCGGCCGGCCGACGGAGTGGCTACCAGTCCCGAGAAGGCGGCGGGCGTTTGGGGCGATTACCGAAACTGTGACACTCCTATCGCCACTTTGAGACACGCGTTGAAACACATCTCAGAAACGCATTCAAACGTAAGACTATTTCCATTGAAATGATATAAGTAATGAGACAATAGAAATGGGTTTCCCATGAATTAGCATGCTAATTGTTTTGGTGAAGAATACTAATGAGTGTGTCATATATATACACTGTATGTGTGCTATACTTGTAGGCCCTGTACTGGATGTGGACGGGAGATATCGCGCCCCACGATATCTGGAATGTCAGTCGACATGAAGTGTTGTCTCAAATAAGATTAGTCACTAATTTGATGAAACAGTACACTCGAGTGCCTGTCTATCCCGTAATTGGCAATCACGAAGGCGTTCCAGTCAACAGGTATTCCCATTGTCTCCCAACTGTAATAATCAGCTAATAATAACATTATGTCATATAAACCTTCAAAAAGTATATTTCCATAAACTGCTGTGAATTAGTGAAATACAGTTAAATACAGTTAATTTCCTTTTGTTTCACTCATTATTCATTATAAATACTGTAATAAAACTTTTTTGTATGGCATATATGACAAAATGAGACACATATACCGGTAATGAAAGTCATATTCAGTTGACACTTCCTTCTGTCCTCCACTGCTCTCATAATCTCATAAACTTTCACAAAATATGTAATGAAAACTAATTAAAACAAATATTAAGTTAATCTCTAAAATGAAGTTTTTGGAGATTTTCGTTGATTTTTGTTAGCCCTTAATGTTTACACATTTAAATTATTTATTTTGCAATCACTTCCGGATTGTGTATGAATTTATGCTAAACTAACTGATTGTTGGACCACTTCTACAGAATATATTGACGAGTATTACTTAACTCCTTCTCCCTTCGGGTGTATTCCCTAAAAAATACATTACTATTACTATTATTACTCTTTTGTTACTTTAAATATAGATATACTGTACTTATATTGTATGAATTATACACAAGAACTAATGTGTTCCCAAATTGGCATCCAATAGCTTCCCACCCCCTGAAGTGAAAGGAGAAAACTCTATTTCATGGCTCTATAATGCAGTGGCAGATGAATGGGATTATTGGCTGCCGAAGGATGCCATCAAAACACTCAGATAGTGAGCAAACACTTCAGAAATAAGTCTTAAGAAATAAGTTCATTATTAACGCGATTTGTATTCCACTCAGTGGTGGCTATTATACAGTGAAACCTCGGTCTGGGTTTAGGATAGTGTGTATTAACACCAATTACTGCGCGCGACTCAACCCATGGAGTCTTTACAATCCGGTGGATCCGGCGAATCAACTGCAATGGCTCAGCGAAGAGCTGTTCAAAGCGGAGACCAGTGGCGACAAAGTGCACATAATAGGCCACATCCCGCCCGATAACCGCGAGTGCACTCAGGCCTGGCTCTACAACTTCCTCAGAATCATAGACCGCTTTCAGGACACCGTTTTGGCCCAATATTACGGCCACACACATAGGGATGAGTTTCGGCTCCTGTATTCGCCACACTATCCCGAAATGCCCATCAACTTGGCCTACATCGGGCCCAGTATTACGCCGTTCACGGAGAACAACCCGTCCTATCGGCTGTATTACATGGACTCCGAGGCCTATCTCGTCGATCACGAGACCTATTACTTCAATCTGACGGAAGCGAACCGGTCTAAGAAGGGCCCCAAATGGGTGTCTGAATACCGCGCGATGAAGACGTTTAACTTGAGTTCAATGAGTCCGCACTCGTGGCACGAATTGGTGCATAAGTTGGAGACCGACGACCATCTCTTCCAGAACTACTATAAACTCTATTACCGAAAGAGTGACGTCAAGATCGCCCAACACTGCGACCAAAAGTGCAAAAAATTCATTTTAAGTGATTTAACAGTTTTACATCCGCTTAAGAATAAACCCAAGGGTTTCTTCGGCAGACGGAAACTGAGGGAACACTAGATCTCAACACAACACTCGCCTAACTGTCCACTACTC